AAATCAAACATTTTAATTGGATGTGATAAACTAAAATTTTAAAAAGCAAAAATTAAAGTCATTGGCTGTAAGTTACATTTAAATATTTTTAAAAAATGAACTGAAATGAAACAGTATAGTCTTGAGAAAAAACAAAAATACTTACCATCCACTGCCTGAGGTAGAGCTGTTTCTGAAATGATAACATGACCGAGTTTTGTTAATCAGCTGCTCCTCCTCCCGACACCCGACAGTAAACTTGTCCAACTGGATTCAGTAGACCAGACCCAGATCCAAAAATGTGATAAAGCTGCTGTTTCCATGGCAATCATACCAACCTGTGTCTGTCGCTCCCTGACCACAAACTTAATGAGAGCTGGACAGAAAACAATGCAGACTAAAAAATAAGTCTCAAACAGTCGCTGTGTGAAATCCAAGTCAAGTCTTACAAACTCTTGAACCAGGAGACAAAGAAGCTGAGCGTTCTGGTTTTATTCTGACTTTTAGTTTCAGTTTAGACTCTGGCTGACAGCTGCAGAGCTTCGGTTGATTTATTTGACAAGGTTTTGAATTATGGGAAGTAGAGAGGAACAAAGACAACATTCTGATGTGTGACCTTTTTTTCATTTTACGCAAAATGACAAGGAAATTAATTTTTCATGTAGATCTGATGAGCTGTTCCTGAAACTGATACGAGCTTTTAAAATTATATGTTTGACTGAACAAATATTAAAAGAGTTGTAAAACATGATGTTTTGGGTTCTGTATAGCGCCTGACAGCGGTTTTATTCACACTTTTTCAAGCAGAGTCTATGACATCTACCTCCTGCATCTGTGTGAGGTTCATCTGAAAAAACCTCAAACATCTGTGAGGAAAACAGCTTCAAAGCCTGGCTGTGGCACTGTTTCAGTCACTACTTCCCCTCATCTGAAATGATGCCATTTCTGAACCAGACACTCTCGTTTCCTGCAGCTGTGGCGTGCTGAGGTTGACAAACCAAAAAGAAAAAGAAAACCATCTCAGGTCTGCAGATTTATGAGGAACTGGATTGTTGTGAATCACATGAGATTTGTGTGATTTATGCAGAAGAACAAGTGTTGAAACGACATATTTCTTAATAAACACTATTATTTCCTGATTTAATAACCTTTTGAGATGCATACTTTATTTGAATAGGATCCAAAAATGGTATGATACATGCCCTGTTGGTTAGGGCAGTGGTTCTCGAAATATTCAACTTTTGACCCATAAAATGCCAGCAGCAGAGACCTGGCTGTGCCCCCAGCTGTTGTCAGATGATAAACATTATTTTCACGTCAAATAAACAAGAGCATAGTAACATTATTTGTTACACAAGTTTTGTCCATTTTAAAGAGGCAATATCATATAAAATCAACTTTTTAAAAATTTTACATCATGTTATAATGTTATACTCTAATAAAAACATGCCCAAAGTCTTGCTTTGACTCATTCATGCA